GGTAAAAGCAAACAGTTTTTGACCGTGCAGATTTAACGAATGCAAATGTTCTGATTTGTTGGTTTTATGGAGAAAATGGATAACTGAAGAGAAAGTGGTGAACTCTGATTATGTGAGAAATAAAATGCCTATATTCGAAACTGGACTTTGTTATTTATGGCACGCGTCAGAACAAACATTACAGCAACCGTAGTGACTTTTTTATTGGGAAGCAACGGTCACTACAGATTGTTTAATTTCTGTGCCTTCATTTCGGATTTGAGAGGGTACATTTGCTCCAAAAATGTGTGCTTTATCGAGTAGTGGCACTTCACATTGCTGCTTTTAATAATCGCCACGGTGTCTGAACATATGAGACACAAACAAATTGCTCGTGGGAAGACTGAACATAGAACTCTCCATTCTTGGCTAAAGGCTCTGGTCTTACTGTCCACATTTCTCTTTTTGAAACACGCCATGTGAAATAACCATAGGGGAATAACTTCTCTGATGCACATACTTCTGACTACTTGGTCTTTCGCCCAATCTCTCTCGTGTGTTTGTACTGTATATCACTCAAGCCTCTGCTTTTTGGAATACATATATTTGATTGGCCGAGTAGCATCAAGTGGTATGATTTACAATGCATGTAATTGGTCGGTGCGTTTCCTGGACTGGCTGAACGAGTGCCGTGGAGGCCTATTAGTCCGCCTATTAGTGACCCCTGCTCTAACCGCTTAAGATGTGTAGTGTTTGCTGATGTGTTTAGCTCGCCGCCCTGGGGTTTCAATGACTCCCTAGCACGTCTTCAAGTTGTACGACGCAGTGCCCTCCTTAATACAAAAAGCTCAAAAAAACTCTTAATTCTGTCTCCAACTTGCGGGATAAACTCTGGCGAGACAGATTTGGCACATGACCTTGCAGTTCCACGTATGTCTATATTTTGACGTGACAGCTAGAGAGGCCCCTTCCCTTTGCTTCTTGCCTTGATCTCTTGTGGCTACTGAGGCCCCAGTAGTCCATAGACACCCTAGTTGTCCATACAGTGCTTCGTACTGTTGCACTGGAACATTTGGGTTATATTCCATATCAGCAAAACTCAGCAACTGAATGTGTTTGATCTCACATCAGACTACAACGACAATAGAGTTCAGCGCAGAGTGAGTGGGAGACGGGCAGTAAAACCACATGGGTACGTGACTAAAAAGTGTCCCCAGTGGCGCTGCGGCAGTAAAGCAATGGTGTCCATGGCCACCAGAGTCTTGTTTGCTGACAGCCAATGTAAATCCATAAGTTCAGCAGTAGCCTCTCATTGATGCAAGCAGAAAGAATTGTCAGTAAGGAGAAATATTTGACATTTTACAAGTTTGTTTTTGTAAAACTTCCTCCCTAGCCTAGTGAACATGATGGCTTTCCAACTCTCACCTCCAGTAGCCAAAAGGTCATCAATGAGAAAAATCTTCTGTCCTGGAGCCACGGAATCCTCCTGGATTTCTGCTTCTGCCTGGAGGAACAGAAGTAAAATAGCATCAGCATTGTGCTGAGGGAATTTTTCTCAGAAGCAGAGACTAAAGCTGCTTAGGACTGAGGGGACAATAAAAAGAGAGATTTTTGAGAGGAATGTGCACTCCAGTGCTCATGACCTTTGACTGGAGTAAAGATTCACATTCCAGTATGATGATACCCTGAAGCAAACAGCCAGAGCAATGCTGGAGTGGTTTCAGGACACAGGTATGAAATGTTATACGCTAGCAGATAATCTCCCTGAAGTCATGTCCTTCGTAATTTAGAACCTGACAACAGAACAGTACAGCGAAGAGGGAGAGTATCATTTTTATAGCCAAGTGGGTGTATTACTAGTAATATTTCTGCTAATATTACTACTCCCATTATATGAATAATTTACGTCATATGGATTGACTATGTTGTAATTTTATTATGTTGTTTATTCTGTACACATGACATCTATTGTAATTACAAAATTCTGTTTTGTAATACTTGCAAAAAGCCCTAGAGCAGTGATTCTTAACCATGGGGCCGCGGCCCACGATTGGGCCGCGAAAAACTTTCAGTTTTGCACCTGTGGGCCACGAGGGCCGCGAGACCGCATAGGTTATCAATTGAAGACACCAGAGATATTACTGTTGTCCATGAGACGCTCAGTTACAATATAGCTTCCCACCACCTGGTGGCGGTAATGCGTCAGTCAGTTGTTTAACAAGCTCCAATAAGCAGAAGACGACACTCAGCTAGCCACGAGCCTGTAGCGAAAGTTATGGATAAGTTTTTAAAAAGAAAAAATGAAGAGGACAGTGGTGCCATACCCCCCCAAAAGTCTAAATGTGTGCGCAAGTACAATCCTGACTTTCTTAAGTACGGCTTTGTGAACGGAGGCAACGAGGCAGAGCCGAGGGCACAGTGTGTGGAATGTGGGCTAATGCTATCAAACGAAGCACTGAAGCCTTCAAAAATAAAGCGACACCTAGCGACGAAACATCCAACGCTCGTGGGAAAGCCTGTTGGGCTTCTTGTTGTGTATGCAGGTTTACATACACATGATAAATAAATGTCTTTGTGATCATCACATTGTATCATCTCATTTATTTGACAAGGGTTTTGCCTGTTCAACTCCGCGAGGACGTCGGCGTCCTCGATCCCCTCCCCTGCCGTTCCTACGTCTTGCTTGCGCAAACTACGTTACAAAACATGGCCGTGTTTGGTATCCCAGCATGCCCAAAATCCTCATCTTTGCAAAGAAATCATCGATTTTCTTTCATTTCTTATGGATTTTTCACAAAAGGAGCCCAAACACACTGTCCAAAGTCGCCATAACCGCTGCAAGTCGGATCTTGCAGCATTTCGACGGAAAAAGACACATTACAGACCCGACAATGTGCTAGCGGATGTTACCATGGAGCTAGTGGCTTCAGAAAATGCTAGTACTTATAGTACAAACCTTATCTTCCTCTTCTATAAGCTGTCAACCAACGTATAACGTTGCGTGACTGAGCTACCCGCATACTCGATCGTGCGCTCGACCGCAGCCATTACGCACAGCAAGTCTGCTACTCACACCAAGTCTTCGACCATATATACATAGTTTTTGCAATTTGCAAAATATAAAGGGAGAAACACCTTTAGTGTGTCAGAATATCATTTGGTTACCATGTGTCCATTTGGGTCTCCAAATATCCTTTTAGAGCTCCGCCTGGATCTCTTCATGGAAGAAACACTGTAGAATGGTCATACTTTGTCCAATCTTCTTCAAATTTGAGGCAGTTGTTCACCGATAGTGTAGTTACAGCCCTATACTGTCCTTTACCTGTACAGATACAGCCACAGGTAGTTATTTATACTGAAAGATACTTTTTTATTTTATGCGGACAAAAATCTTCAATTCTTACTGACTCCAAAGGCCCACTGCTCTGTTTCTGTATGACCTACAGGTTTTCTGACACTTTTTTTGCCCTAAAATAGGGGTGGCGTTGAACAGGTAACAATATAGTTATTGAATACAAATCAAACCAAGAGTGAGATCAATTAGTTAAACTAATAGTGTTAATATTTGAATGGGCCCCGGGACACTTTGTACTTGAAAAGTTGGGCCCCGAGGTCAAAAAGGTTAAGAACCCCTGCCCTAGAGGAGGTTGCAGAAGGTGACCAGTGTGACCCAGTCCCACACACTCATTACTGGTCAGTGAATTTTTCCTCTGTGGTCTAGCATACATATGTTGGGAATCAGGTGAGTAACACTTTTAAACGACCAGTCCAACATTTTAGGGAACATGCTTGTCTAACTTTAGATTCGAGAAGATCTATTCAGTTCGATTTTTGTATGCTAATGTGCTGTCAAACTGTATTAGTATATGTCTGTTCTTATGTGTAGAAATGTATGTACAAGACATTGGCTTAAGGACAATTTGTGTAAACATTTATATCAATTCAAACATTCTCTAGATGTCTGTATTCCCCAATTACCATTCAATCAACAATGTAAATTGAACATAACTGCAAGGCCAACAAACAAAAAATCCTTTGCGTGTGTGCATTTGTGTACTTTACCTTGCCATACTCCAAATCATATGCCACAGACACAGTGGTTCCAGGCAGTTTGCCTTTCTTTCTGACCAGGACAAAGCCAACACCCAGCCGCTGGGCAAGCAGAGGGCCAAACAGGAAACCACGAGCATCTAAACCTGAACACAAATAAATAAAATGTGGTACCCAGCAAAATATGCATTAGAAAGACACATTAGTGCAAGACATAGAGCGGATATAAAATAAATACATCCTCCAAAGAGTTTTTACATGTCGTCTGTAAATCTCATCTATTTGAAGAGGCAGTTTTGCCCTGACCCAAAGTATATAACTGATGGAAGAGGTTATCATGCAAGGTGCCAACAGCCCATCTGATCGAAACTAAACGATGGCAGCCTTTGGGTTATCTTGCCCATAGACACTTAAAAATGCAGACTGGAGGAGCCAGCCGATTAGAGGACGACCCGCTCTACCTCTAAGCCACAGTGAATGCAATGAAATCATTTCACTTTGAAAAATAAGTGCATTTTAAAAGAATTCTTAATTTCTTTAAGGCATTTATACTCTATGCGCTGTTCGTTGCATTATTCTCATAAACAGCAGAGAACATAAACACTAAATTAACTTTATAAAATCAAAAAGACAACGAGATAGACATGCCCGTAGACTGTAGGTGTAACTGGTAAAAGCCATAAACCAAAATCCACAATGCCGAGGAGTCATTGTAACTATCTGTAAACTCATATCTTATATTCATATTGACTACTTTATTGTCTTTGTACAAGCCCCTTAAGGAAACAAGTCCATTTATTTGTAACATAACCATTCCTAAAGGTCTAATAGACAGCTTACCCAGGAGGTGTTGCAGATGCAGGAAATTGCTCGACTACTTCTTAGAATAAAAAATACTAATGATGATTCCTATCACATATTAAACCAAACAAAAATCTTCATAAAAACAAGTTGTACAAATAATAATAGATAAACAAGCATATTAAAGCTACTGCAGATGTAAAAACAAACGCATTTAACTTACCAGAGCTGCTGTTCACTTTTTAAAAGACAAAGTGCATCCTCCTTTCTTTGTTAAAGAGTTTAATCTCACGGTTGTTCAGTACATCTGTGCGTTTTAGTTCCAGTAAGAAGTCCTTCTCCATTCATGGACACCAGTGAAGACTGTTGAGCCTCCCCAGTTGTATTTCTTGAATAGGTTTTAATGTATTTGAGGGCTAAAAATGTCCGCTCCACAGAGGCAGCAGATATTGGGATTGTCACCGCCCAACACGTCAGGCTAGCCCACTGACCAATCACGTACTTGTAGGCCAGCTAGCAGGCTCTGGCACGTCAAAGAATACGCCCAACATGTCAAACTAAAGATCTGATTGGTTGAAGAATATAACAATCAACAATATCTTCCCCATTCACTTAAACTGCAAAGGGATTCACTTGAGAGTCTGCAGGCCTGGGGCCTCTCTTCTTACCTAGAGACACAGAGGTGAAATCTGATTGGATAAAAGCTCTACTTAAATCAAGCTGCACTGGAAGCAGAGCAACTGAGGAAGACAGGAGCTGTGCAATGAGAAAATAAGATAATGGGAAAAATATTTTTATAAATTATAATACATAGTGTATTTAAGAAAAATGATTAAATTATAAAATAGATATAGCTTTGTGATTCTCCTTAGGCCAGCAGAGAGGCCTTGCAGGCCCTGACGGCCCACCACTGGTGTATACTACAATTTGTTTGTGTAGAATACTGTAGCTACACCTTCACTTCAAAATAATTGGTAAGAAGTGCTGGAAATAACTAGTTTCTGCTTCACATCTGCCGTACGTTGGCATCAGAGTCTCTCTAAGTGGAGGTTGTAGTGTGCGCTCAAAGCACGGTTTTCTCGTCGCAGAGTACAATATTGCTTGTGTAAGCATAGATTCTGTGCGCGGGTTATGTGAAAATAATGGCAAAAGAGTTCTACACGCACATGTATCTCATTTGCACACAGATTTTTATTTATTTATTTGCCACCAGAGAAAAGTCTCACATTTCCATCATGCCTGCCTGATGCCAAGTGCTGGACTGAGTAGTTTGTTAAGTTTGCCGTTTTATGTTCCAAACTGCAAATAGTGAATCTCCACGCATTTGTATGGATCTTTTTGAGACTGTTTTACTGTGCCGATGTGTCTCACACAATATTCACAAGTAGAAGGTAAGATCCAGCACTATCCATTAGATAGCAGTAATGCAACATTAATGGATAATAGAGAGAAAAACATATAGACAAAAACAAATGAAGAACTGATAACTTAACTATATCTGGATACGTAGATGCAACTTAGGTGCACGCACATTAACGTTTAGAGTAAAGGTGTGTCAATGAATACTTTTTAAAAAGGTACTGTTTCAATTCTCTGTAGACTGTTCCTTTAAGGTTCATCAGGTTAAGAATACGGGTATATATTAAAAGGCACTTTGCTTTGGCTTCTTACCTACTATCAGATCAACCTGCTGGTGATTCTTCCTTATATGTTCTTCAAACAGGTCAATCACTGCTGTCAGAGCAGCTGGATCCTTGAGGATGGGACAAATATCCCTGCAGCATACACACACATTCTATTAGTATCCGGTCATTTCAAATGGAAATCAATATGAAACACTTATATATTGTGAGATCACATATGATTTGTTTATTAATTTCTGCTTCGCACATATTTGATGCATTCTTTCATCAGCACACCTGATTAACCTAGTAACTAAAACAATGAAATGAAATCATAAACTGAGCTGGGGCTGCAACTGCTTTTTGTTATGGATTCACCAACAAGTATTTCTTTTAATTATGTAATTAATACTTCAGTCCAAAAATGTCTTCAAATATGTTGCTTACATCAAAATATATTACATTTATATTAATATAAGAGAGAAAAACAGTAAATAGCACAGTGGAGAAGCTGGAAAAAGAGAATAGTTGGTATTTCTCCACAAAACAAATGCCTTAATTTCAGAAAGTAAAATCCACAAGGCACAATAAGCTTCTGGTGAGAGCTGGAGACGTTCAACCTGAAAACGGCGTGCATCGTTTCCAGGTTGAATTACATATTTCTTCAAAAGATTGTGAAACGTGCTTTGAGATACGTTGTCTCTCATTTGGTGGGTGTGTCAGAGTGGACCCAATCAGCAGCTACGTGTAGGCCTATATAAAACACACCTTACTAAAGTCAGTGCGCTTAAGTACATAACAGGGTGTTCAACGCACCTGAGGCCAGCCTTGACTTAAAAGCTGTAGCCTTCTGCAAACAGGTCATGTTAAACCACAGGGGGGACGTAAAGACAGACCTAAGTAACTCGATTTCCTACGAGCTATATGAGTCGGATATGCTTCGACAGCACACAACACAGCACTTACCAGTACTACGAAAATTATCTGTCTGTTCACAGAGCAACATGTGACAAACACATTAGGACATATTCGGTCCACAGCTCCTTCCTTCACCTGCTGTGTGTGGAGCATTTCACGTTCTACCGCATGACGAGCTCTCTTTCGCTGCTATATAGGTAGCGTGGAAGAGACGGACCTGGCATATGTAGCTTTAAACAGCACTTAGTATCTTACCTGAACAGGATGCCTTTCTTTGGAAAGTCTGGAAAAGCTCGAATGTGTCTATGGACCAGCTGGAGTTTTGATTCTGGGTCGGCTGCCATTCTAGCTACATGTGTCTTCTGGTTTTACGGCGGTTGGCATCTAGCTTATTGGTGCATTACCGCCACCTTCTGCTCCGGAGTATGGATCAGAGAATATACTTACAATCTTTCAGCCAAAACAAAAATTTACCACACATACCACATTAACCTTCATTTTATACTCCATGTTTTACACTCTAGACCTATACAATTCTAGCCTGTGACAAGCACCCTTGTACCATATCCCTGCATTTCCATCATATCCTATAAAAAAAACTCTGTTCTTTGTACGAGTTTATGTGGGACATTTACATAAACTGCATAGGGATTCACTTGTAATTCTGAAGGCCTCTGGGCAGATTTTTTTTACTTAGAGACAGCATAGGGGCGAAATCTGATTGGATAAAAGCTCTACTTCTACAAGCTGCTTCCAGCGCAAATGAGGAAGATAATAGCAATGCAATGAGCCCACTGCTTAAAGTAAACAAAGCAAAATCTGATGTGCCACTCAAACTGTACAATCACATTTCATGGATTATAGGTGTTACCAACACTGGCTCACTGTGTTGAAGTTCCAGATGATTTGAACCTAAAAATGACATCTATTTGCTAAGACATTGTGTTCTCAGGGCCAAAAAGCATGACACCTAAATCATTGTGTCCTGGGCTAACTGTTGACCAAGTTCTTCACAAATTGTGTCACTTCTAAATATACTTGACCATTGTGCATCATGGGACACCATTGTCAGTTTAGACACTAGCCTTGCCCAACTTCAACTAGTAGAGGGCAGAGACGAAATACCAAAGGGACGATTCTGGGACAAGATAGATACTTTGAGGAGGAGACACGGTCAGGTTGTGGAATCATACAAATTGTATTATGCTGCAAAGTTCTGGAGCTGAACCTGTGTCAACAAAAAACAGATAACGGCCCAATCCCAATCTCCACCCTTACGGACTCACGGATATTGAGGCGCGCTCCCGCAAAGTCCGTTAGGGTTTAGGGCACGGGTGTCAAACTCAAGGCCCGCGGGCCGAATTAGGCCCACCACGTCAATTTATGTGGCCCGCAAATTCGCCAGCAAAAATAAATAATAAAAAGATTCCCATAGTCGAAATTATGAGATAGAAAGTCAAAATTAAACACAACAGTCATAGAAGCAGCTCTTTGGCTGGTTACTGTACATTTGAAATGGAAATGGTTTGTGAGTACATTGAAGACTACTTTAAACGTGACTTTAAAACGGATGAAATACTTCACGTGGGATTGTGCAAACGCACCCTTGAAAGGATTTTAAGCATTGAACAAAGTTATTATTTGTTTGATATTTTCTTTAAAAGTTTGATAGAGTAATGTGGGTTTCTTAACCCTAAATTAAAAGGATTTAAGTTATAATAAATGTGCTGAAATCTATTTTTACATTTATATAACTGCATGTACAATATTTTTACAGTTGAAAAAACAAATCAAATGCAGAGACAGTTATTTACCAATATGTTAGGAGTAGTTACGTTTACACCCTCTTACATTTACAACCGGCCCTTTGAGGGCAACCTTAATGCTGATGTGGCCCAGAGTGAAAATGAGCTTGACACCCCTGGTTTAGGGCTCTCTGGCAGACATTTTGAGCTCTTTATGAAATCTTTCCGTAAGTCAGCATTCGATGCAGAATTTGCCTCAGGGAATTACCCACAAATCATTGCAATGTGACGTTAAACACGGGGTAACAAGTGGACAGATGGAGGCGTAAAAAAAAAAGGTAAACAAAGACGGCTCACGTGTGTTCAGCCTGTCATATTAGATTTACTCAAACATTAAGGGTGAAAGATGGAACAAAAAAAAAACATGAAATCAGAGGTTATTTATTTATTCATCAAATATTTGATTTTGTCATCGAAGCTGTTTTGACAAAAATGAGTAAATAGATTATTTAAAATTACCTCTCATGCGAGGAAAGAGCCTGGAAGACGTTCAAATCAGGGAGTACAAAGTATAAAATAAATATCCACAATTGTCCATATGTTTTGTCGTTGTCATGGTAACGTGATATGTTGCACTAAAATGCTGTCCCATTCGTATTTACACCATTTCAAGCCCTCACAGTCTCTCACACTCAACCACAGGTGATGTCAGTAAGTCCTTGAGGGTTCAGGGTTTGAGGCTTTAGGGGGGACATTGGGATCGGGCCAACTACTACAGAATGGATTGTCCTCATTCAAAGCACCCCTTAGCATTCCTGCAGAACAATACCATCAGTCTAAACAAGGGCCACAGAACTTGTTACATCGTGAAAGTATTCCATTACAGGCGGAAACATACAGATTGAACACTGTGTCTGCTACACAGACACACACACTCTGCTGCACATTACTAGCCATGAGCAAGGATACACGAGAGCAGCCTTCACAGAAGTCTTTTAACGGCCAACACTCCCCCTCATAGTTTATCAGTTATATGATTGAACGATGCGACTCATCACTGAAGTTTCATATCAGAGTGAAGACAGATCACAGGTTAAATTCAAGTGCATTACTCTGTATCAAGTTTCATAATTCATGTTTTCTAATTCACCATCTGGTAAAACTATATGTTAATTGAAGGTCTGAACAAGAAAGGGACAGCAATATTTGTCTTTTTATGATCTTTTATTATAAGAGAGAGCAGGAGAGTCTGTGTCTGTCAGCAAGAAACACGTCAGGCTGAGTGTCGAGTTTGTTATTAGTTGCATAATTTCAATGTTCCTCGAAAACAATTAGCCTCATAAATACTTTCCGGGTTCAAAAGAAACAACCATATTCTGTGTAATTAAATGACTTCACGATCAGAATATCTATAAATACAGACCCAAACAAGGAATAAATAAGACAAACGCAATCTGCAAATACAAATCAATCCTGCGCTTATAAACTGGTACAGAACACAGTATAAATACAGTTATATAAGTGGGTGTCTTTATTCGTATTAGTACAGTACCCAAGTGAGCAGACAAACTCCATCAAAAGTCTCTCCAGCTTTTAAAGCCGACTGACAGCTGATCCAGCTGTGATCGGCGGCCGCCATTAACAGAAATGGACGTTTCTTCACGTGACGATACAGAAGTTTCCTCTTAAAACATATTTCCTCGTTTCCTCTCTCTCCTTGTATGGTTTCCTTTCCTCCAGGAAAAGACGCAAGTGAGGGAAACATGGATTCAATTAACAGACTTGAGATGTACCCTGTGTTTGAAAATACTTTATTGGAAAAACAAAAAGGTATCTAAATACAGATTTCAGTTTATATTAATAATTTAAAAAATGTGATCACTATTATTAATGATATCACACACACACAGTCTGACCTCAGTATCTACTGTCAATCAGAGCTCTACCGTGTGCATGTCAGGGCATGGCCTCTCAGCATCTCCCTCTTCTGTGGAGGTCAAAGGTAGAGCAGGTGGGACATGGCAATGGGCAGGGCTTGTAGTTGACAGGCTCCTCCTCTAGTGGGACAGGTTTTTGTCTAAGGTGGTCAGAGGTCATGAAGAGGAGAAGAGAGGGCCCATCTGCTGCCTTGTTGCCAAGACAGGGCGGCAGCAGCCTATGCTGCAGCACCTGGCTGATCAGCTGATCTTCCTGCACCTCGACACAGACCAATGAAGCGAAGAGAAGCTGAGAGCGAGAGACATTCACTTCTACAGACAAAGACAGAGGTTAAACAAGGTTGAGAAATAGAAAATGTATATGACCCTAATTGAGTTGAAGTTGAAAGTGAAATCGAACCACCAAAAGTCTATACAAGCAAACATACTGTCAATCAATTATCACTTATGAACTTTGTCATAAGTCATAATTGAGAGAAATTTTTTTTTATGATTCTAAAAATTGTTTTTAGGAAATGCTGCATTGTATAAAATACAGGAATTTTCATGAAAAGAAAAAGTCACGCTATTTATCATTTATACTTTATTTATGCATCACTAAAATAGGATGTTCTGAACAAAACGATGTGTGTTCCATGCAGTAAAAATATTTGTGTCTTAATAAAATGTGAGGTAAAGTGATTGCTGTATGTTTTAGTGCCATTTTGAGCATATTTTGATAATTATCGGGATAATATTGTTAATCGCAATTTCTTTGGCCAGGATAATCGTGACATGAAATTTCCATAGTTGCATCCCTAGTGACGATATTTGCAAAGGAGTTCATTAGTTACATGGTGGTGCATTTTATAGTCAACCCCAATCTAAAACTAAAAATAATCTCCTCCGGTACAGGTTAGGTTTGCAAGATAAATTACCATGGTGATCTAGCCAGGTAAAAAGAGAACCACCTCCGTGACTTTTCAAACTAACTTTAGGCTCAACATACCTTGCTAACACATTCATCTTGCTTGAAATAAGGTAAATGAGAGGCACCCCTTTTGTGTGTGTGTTACCTTCAGTAGCTCTGGTGTTGATCAAGGTTTTGGTCCTCTCTGACCTACATAGACTCTCCTGAATGGCCTTCTGGGAGTTAAACTCAGCACCCTGCAGGACAACAGACAGGTTACCATGGGAACCAGCAGTTAATTAGCTCAGCTGTGATTTATAGATAACCTACTGCTAAAAAGTGTGAACCTGCAGGGACTGAAGCTCCGCCTTCAGAGCCAGAGTGGTGTTTAGCCCCACCCTCTCGAGAAAGCCTGGATCTTCATTGGATACTGTCAATCTGCCACCACGAGACTCCACCCATTGTCTGGGGGCTACATAAAGCCAGATAAGAGTAAGAAACAACAGTTGTTATTGATTATTCCATTGACCAGCATCCAGTGTTAGCTCTATTACAGTCTATAGTTTTTACTTTGAACAATGATGGATTCATTTGTGTACAGGAAGCTGCAGCAACTCCTGTTTTGTCTTTAACACATGATGTTGCGCTTCTGTGAAAGAAGGTCACAATCTCTCTGATCTTTGGAGGAGGTGAGAGATCCACTGCCATCTCTTTCTGAGACACTAGATTAATGACATCGGCCTATTTGTGTGATTACAGTCAGCTAGCGTTGTGTAGCCCGTGAAGTCCGGCTGTCTGCTGTCAGAGGAACAGCGGGTGCTTCGGACTTTTGTTTTCTTTAACAAAGCAGGAATTATGGTCTGTCGAAATGGGCTCGTGAATGAGTAGTGTCACAGGGCTCAATAGCAGAGCAGGGCCGAGATCCTTCTTGTGGCACTGGCACCTCTGTGGCACTCAGCGGCACTAACTGCACCCGATACCACTAAGGCAACATGACGTTAACCTCTCTTCAGTTGGGCCTAATAAGCCGCCAAGCTGCAATGATAACCTGATGAATAAACAGGTGAAATCCATCATTTATCACCTGCTTCAGTGGAAGCGCAAAACAGGCAGTTCCCAGTTTAAGTTTCAAGTTCCGATCTTGGAGCGTACAGACTTGCCTGTTAATGTGGCCTGACATGATCGGATGACAAAAGTTGCATTGAAAAGACAAGTGTAACCACAGCCTCAGGTCATTTGGGCCTTAACAGAGACCTGCATTCATTTTGACAGGCTGTTGCGTTATGAATGCTATCTCACATTGTAACATATTAGCCTACATTTTTTGTAGAGCTTCATATCGATTTACACTTAAAATGTATGTTTGGGGCTACACTCAAAACAATCAGGTTTAAGCCCCAAAAAAATGCCGGCACCGATGCTACAATGCATAATGAACATTTTGATAAAGCACATCCAATAACAAAAATAATACCAATAATAAATTACTACAAAAAATATATTTAATAATAACAATCATAATGCTGAGTTCTCCTGGGGGGTTAAAATTCAGGCCTGGCACCCTGGGACCGCCCATTAGGCCAGGTCTGGTTGCTGACGTCTATGTGGTTACCACAGCAACCCATGCAGATAGGTCGGTGATGTCTGGACACAGAAAGATGATCTGATCACTTGCACATAGCAGTGCAGACAGTCTGTCTTCAAATCGGATTTGCCTGCAGTCTGAACGTAGCCATGGTCTGAGAGTGTTATCTTATAAGATGTGTAGCAATGTACTTGCGTCTGTCTGGACACAAGTACATTTGCTGTTACACAACGTGGGGGCTTGGCGTGAAAATCACAACTGCGTAGGTCTGAAACTATCAATGACAGTTGCCGTCACTTTGCGCCAGGTGTAAAATAGGGCCCTCAGTCATAATTGTCAGACTGGTTACAGTGGTGACGTCCTCTGCTCCACCTCTGACCTCTGATTGGCTGCTTAGGTGGGATGTCTCTGCTCTGCTCCAGTGTTACCGCGAGATCCACCGGCTCGTCAAAAAACACCTGCAGAACAGACACAGAATGAAGTCATTACACCCTCGCACACACCAGGACTACAGGGTGACATCGTCACAAAAACATACTAGGACTAAAAGATAATGTCATCACCTGTATGTTTGCCCCTCTTCTCGTCTGTCCTTGGGGGAAGGGCCTCAGCTGTGATTGGTCACTTTGCTGACCAAACTTCAGTGGGCTGGGCTTCATGTGTATGCGGCTGGGCTTGGGAGCGGAGCTGGGTGTGGCGGACAGGTCGAGCTCAGGACAGTGAATCGGAGAGGAGGAGGAAAGGGGAAAAGGGGCAAGGTGAGGAGAGGGGGTAGGAGAGAGGAAGGAGGAGGAACTCATCCTGACAGGAAACAATAGAGACATTGATTTTCAGTGGAATGTGCCCAAAAAAGAAAATGTTTGTGCAGTTTATCTTGGAACATTTTATTTTCGTTTACTGGAGTACTTAAGATAAATGACAATATACCAAGGACCTTGAGACAATACCGCCACGACCAGCCAGACCAAATGCCACTGAAAGTGGAGTCGACTGCCCAAAGAGGAGAGCCAGGATGGAAGCTAAGCTCACAAAGCTAGGACCTAAGGGCCCACGATCACACCGAGACACGTCGCTAGAAATGTGTCGCCAGCAAAATCATTGTTTCTCTATGGCACGCTGGTGTGCCAATGACTACATACATGAATAGGCAACTTACTTACATATCTACACACATTCCACCTATTACATCCCTAAATATTACACATACACCCAGTGTATCCCCTTAGCAAACCACCCCACACCCCAACAAAGCGACCTTTCCCATCTTTGAGTGTGGCCACTTGATTCGGCTCACCCACCAAAGTGTCCTCAGAGCGCACATACCTACATGTATACTGTGCATACATGCAGGCATGTGTATACTGTGCTCACACACATAAGTACACTCACATACATTTACTCTCTCATTTCAGTCAAATAACCATTTCCATGTTTAAACCAATGAAATGCAACATTTTAGATTCATATACATTATATTAAAGAATCATAATTAGTGATGCATTAATGAGTTCATCGCTTTAATGTTGCAGCTGGTAAAGGTGGGGATCTACTATATAAACTGCAAGGCAGCTGAATTTAAAATACATCAGTTGATTTGTATTCTGTATTCTCAATCGGTACAGTAAAAGTAACTAAAGTAATCAAATAAAAGTAGACGGAAAAGGTACAGTATTTCCGCATGAATTGTAGTAGAGTACTAAGTAGAATAGCATAACATGGAAATACTCCATCAAGTACAAGTAACATTACCTCAAAATTGTACAAGTTACAGTATTTGAACAGTATTTGAGTAGCTAACGTTAGTTAAGTGTAGCGATGTTTTGTTACTTTTCACCAATGGTGTGTGGAATATTGTTGTCATTTGATCCCGTTAGTATCGTTATATTTAGGTCAATAAACCGTAAATCAAACTTAATCTGTTGGTTTACAGATAACTATAACGTTAGCAGTTCAATTACACTCTCAGTTAGCTTGTTAGATAGCACATTAAACTAGTCTTTAATCGTTGACGCTTAAATACAGTTGGTACAGTTAGCCCTGTAATCTTAGTGAACAAATGCAACTAGCTTCCACTTGCTGAGTTTTTAGTTACTAGCTAAATCCTACGTCAGTCTCCGTTAGTGTTAATCAGACTGTTTGGCTTGTCTATTTTTTTCACAGAGTATATTGAAGCTGATACAGTTAGCTTGTACAACTAACATATTCTTGTGTTACCTGATTTAGTCCGATCGGAAAATATCCTTAGAAACACCAGACCTAGAGCATACAAAAGTCGCTCTCTGAAGATGATCTAACGTTAAACGTTTTTATTATCCGAAGATTTCAGGACAGTTATCCGTTTCTATTTTAAATTACCCTCCTCGCACTCTTCTTCTTTGGTTTTACCGACCGACTACGGGTACATCCCAAGTCTCTTATTTGTCATTTCCTCGCTCCTCGATCCTCGCTTGAACCGGAAGTTGTTCTGCACCGCCATATTGACGGCCGTCCCAAAGCTCTTATTTAGCTCGGAGGAGTGAGGATCGAGGAGGGAGGAGGGATCTCCGAGGAGCCATGAGCGAGGACCCACGAGAACAGCCTTCCAGGAAGTGTCGGCCACACGCCCCCTCATTGAAAGAAGAAGAAGAAAGAAAGAAAGATTCCTTTATAGGTCCCAGTGGGGAAATTATTCTCTGCATTTGACCCATCCCTGTATACAGTGGGTACGGAAAGTATTCAGACCCCTTTAAATTTTTCACT